TTGGTGAGCACATCAATAATATTTTATTGTTAGTTATATAAGTTTACATAGTAAATTAGGTTCCCCTTTAATAATTTTTGTGCAAATTGTTCTGTGCCATTTGCTATAAAGGGGTACTTTTTTAATTATTAATTTTAATGAAAGTTTACAGAGATTTTGGATTTCCATTCATTCATTCTTTCACTTTTCTCTCTGCCTACCCTGCCCCCCCCCACAAGTTTGTTCTGCCCTTTGAAAAGTAAAAGAAAAATTCTTTCATTGTTATATAATCCCTCCCCCCAAGTCTACTCCACTATGCAGCCTTCGTTCTGGACTCCTGTCATGATAATAATACCTAATCACATATCCCTTTTAAACAGTTTTCTCCCTCATCTGTTTCAATACGGAATACATAATTTCTCCCATCTTTTTCAGTCTCCCCCCAACCCCAGTGTCAATCCCATTTTATAACAGTGGCACCATGCAGTATTTGTCCTTTTGTGACTGAGATAGTTCATTCAGCATAATGTCTCCAGGGTCACCCATTTTTAATAATATTGCATGAGTTCCTGGTTTTTCAATGCATTGTAGTATTCCATTGTGTGAATATCCCACAGCTTCTCTATCCATTTGTTTGATGATGGACACTTAGGTTGTTTCCAACTCTTTTTTATTGTGAACAAAACTACCATAAACATGGGTGTGCTTATATCAGCTTGGGTGGCGGTTACGGTTTCTTTAGGGATATTTGTGATATTTTTTTAAATTATTTTTTCAAATATTTTTTATTGATTTTCATATAGTAATACCTCTACAAAATGTTTCTTTCATAAACATTGTTATTTTACACAATCTTTCATTTACCTGTGTTTCATAAAACCATTCATATATATTCTGTTTTACATTTTTTTTTTCATACTAGCTTATTTACAAAATGTGAATACATTGTTTTTCACACCAGATCCTTCCTATTTCCCTTACCTCCCCCATCAAATTGTGGGACCCCGTGATTAATCCTCCACCCCCACACATCCTCACCCGTCTGCTCATTCTGTTTTATTGGTATGAGTTTTATTGGTATTTTATTGGTGGTGATTTCTGCTTGCCAGGCATCGTATACGGCTTCAATGTGAATGCAAGCAACGTTCTCCTAAAGTCAGCAGAGAAAAAGCAAGTCAAGATTAAGCTTCACAAAATCATTTATCGTCTTGTTGAAGATTTACAGGAGGAGCTGAGCAGTAGGCTGCCCTGTGTCATAGAAGAACAGCCAGTAGGTGAGTGTTCACTGAATGCCGCCCTGAAACGTTGGCATCTTAGGAGAAGAATTCTTAAAGAGCAAAATACAAGAAAAAGTGTCCTTCACTGTGCTAGTGGAGAAATAGGATTCACTAGAATTTCCAGGCATAAGCAACTGTCAGCCAAACACTGACCCTAGAAACTCAGAACCTCAGTGTTGTGATCATTTCACTATTTGGAATGAAAACAGTTTTTGTTTTCCCAGTGGAAAAGTTAAGCTGATTCACAGAATTAGTACCCATAAATGGGCTTAAATGACCAACGGTGAGATTAACAACAAACCAGGTCACGAATCACAGATGGTCTATCCTCAGAAATAGAGGTGAAAAGTGGGTTTGCATGGGAGTTGTCCTCTACTTTCATAATACTTTATTCAAACAAAAAAATTGAGCTGCCTTTACTTTTAGTTAAAAGTGTTTCTTTTGACTGCAACTACAATCCCAAAGGCGCATGGTTCAAATCCACCAGATGCTCTGCCGGGGAAGGAGGGACAATCTCCTCCTGTACCAGTCAGATCTGATTTGACGGTACACTCACACAAAAATTTAAA